TGACATAATGGCACAAGTGGAAAATTCCAGCACTGACCTCATGTGATGGGTTGTAGGTACATTGAAGGAATCATATAAAATTATCTCAGGATTTGTGTGTAAGATATATATGAAACATAAATGAATTTCATGTTTAGGCTTGAGTCCTGTTCCCAAGATATTTAATTATAATATACAAATATTCCAAATCTGGAAATATCTGAATTCTGAAACACTTCTGGTTCTATGCATTTTGGATAAGGAATACTCAACCTGTGTTTAGAGAAAGAATTGTCAAAGTTTGGATATGGAACTGTAGATTGGATAAAGGTAAGGTAAATTTCCTGAGTTTAATTGATGTGTTTTATAAGAGAATTACCTTATTCTCAAGAAATACTAAAGAATTTGGGGAATAGGGCTGGCTATCATTCTCAAATCATTCATACATAATACTAATATATAATAGAGACATTGATAAAGTAAATATGACAAATTAGTGATTAAGTAAATGTTAACAATTGATGATTATGGGTAAAGGATATGTGGGAGATCTGTACAGTAGTCTTAATTCTTTTATTTATTTATTTTAAAAATATTTTTTAGTTGTTGATGGACCTTTATTTTATTTGCTTATTTATATGTGGTGCTAGGAATTGAATCTAGTGCCTCACAGGTATGAGGCAAGCTCTCTACTGGGAGATTCAACTCCAGCCCCAGTTTTAACCCTGAAATTATTCAAATAGGTCTTAAAAACTCCTGAATGTACTGCTTGCTTCAGACTGACTTATAGTTTTGGGTTACACTGCTACACATGTAAGATGAATTTGATTTTAACCTTAGACAAAAGCTTATATTTATTTTTTTCAGAAATAACAAAGGCATATTTTGCTAGTAGTCTCAATGACAGAATCGTGCATAACAAAAATTGAAATATCTATAATAAAATATGCATAAATTGGTTAAGGAGATAAGACAGAGTTTTCCTTAAGAGATTCTCAGGATGGAGACTATGTCTGGTAAAAGAGCTGATAAGAAACCTGAGTGATACCCTATTGTAAAGAAAGATGTTTGAGAAGTCTGTCCATATCATCTCATTATTTTGGTATGTATTTTGATTATCTGAGACATAGATTTTTTTCTAATTGAATAATTTGTTTTCATCCAATTGTTACAGGTTTTAATATAAATTTTGGTCTTCTCCTAAAATCATATTTTTGTTTTAGGATGGTTTTGCAAGAATAAGACTTGACCAGGACCGACTGCCAATAATAGGTAAAGATTTTATGTTTGGAAAAGTTAGTTTTAGAGAAAATATATTTGCTATTAGAGTTGATGAAATGTATTTTATAAAGTGTAAATGAGTTTTCATTGTACATAACAAATTTTTGCCATGTTGTACACTGTCCAGCTATAACTGGAAAACATGGCCACGGATGTAAAACTTTGATAGATTCACCTGTCATTGGTTGAACATCTGCTAAAGATTAACAAAATGAATAAAGTTTCTCTTAAATTTAATTTAGGAAGTTTGTAATTGTCATTTTTGTAGTTTCCTTCTTCTTACCACTTTTCTGCGAGTGCCAGCTTCTCCTCCTCCCCTAAGTTTCTGTGGCTCTTTCTTTCTTACTTCACATTTTCTATTACTCATGTCCTTCTATGTTCTGTATTAGAGAGTCGAGTCCTTTCATTGAACTTGTTACTTTAAACGTTCTTAATTTCATTTTGGATTCACAAGGGCTTAGTATTTGGTTGGTACATAGATATGTGTAAGTTTTCTAATGTTTGAAATAAGTTTTTAAAATGGAGGCAAATGGGATTACTTGCTACTGTTAACACTACTATAGCAATTTAATAATGTATGGAATTCTAATAATATGGACTAAGTATTTTTTACTAAAGGTTTCGTTTCTGTTATTCATCAGTTGCTATTCAGATTACCTATTCTGATTTGATAACTTTTGAAAACTTTTGTCTTTCAAACAGAACCTGTTAATATTAATGAAGAAAGTGAGGGAATTGACCAGAACACCCAAATTAGGAATCAAGGAATTATAGCTTTGAGTTATCGAGACTGGGAGGTAAAGCTCTGCATGTTGTGCCTGTTTCTGACTCTGACTCACTTCCTTGAACCCACTGCCCAAAACTTCTTTCTTCCCTGCCAGGAGATTGTGAAGACCTTCGAGATTGCTGAGCCTGTGATTGCTTCGGGTCAGAGCAGGCAGAGGCTGAGTGCTTGATGCCAGCTGAAGGTAACAGGTTTAGCAGGACAGCTGCGTGGTTTTCCCATAATTTATTTGGCAATCCAAGCCATACTTTCTCCCCATGCCAGTGAAATTTGGGTTTTGCCTCCCTCTAGTGCCTCATCCTGGAACTGAGTAACTGGTGAGAAAGGTAGAGGCAGAATGTGGGTGGAAGTCCCCTTCTCTGGGCTGCTTACCTTGGTATTGGTTTGCAGCTACAAGCAGCAGCACAGGAGAGTTTGTTCTTGCTTTGGCTTTTTTTCCCCTAACAAACTGATGTTAGAAAATTCTTAATCCCCCTGCCCCTCAGTGTTGTTCACTGTCCCATTAGGTACAAGGAAGGAAGGGAGGATTAGGACAGAGTTACTGTAGAATGTTGTTAGTAAATGGGCATTTCTGAAACTTGAATTATGCTATGAAGTAATCCTTCATTTTATGAGGGGGAAGATTTCTAGATAGTAATCTTAGAAGTGATCTGGGATTCTATACTATAAACAGCTGTGGGTAGGAAGCAGAACTAGAATCTGCTGGCTCTGCCCTACTTTAAACCTGTAGGCAAGTCACTTCATCTCAACTGTATTTTCGTCATCTGTACGTCTCTAGAAAATTGAGTTTTTGAATTAGATAATTAGTGTTTTTTTTTTCCCTAGCTTCAATTTTCTATGCTTTTGAGAATTAAAATGAGATTGTTTAGTACTTAATGTAACCTCTTAATATGTACTTCAATTAATTGAGCTTCTTTCATTCTAATATTTGCTGTCAAAGTATTTTTGAAGGAAAGAGGTGAACAGATATTAACCTGGGACCTATTTTCTAAGAGGAGCTAGTTGTTATATTTCACTTATGTATAGTTCATAAACTTTCGGTTTATCATTTATAAACTGTTTACCAGCTGTTTTTCCTCCCTTTTAGGACTCAAATGGATAGTGAAATCTGAAATGGAAAGCAGCATGTATTGTATATATTGTATGATTAAACATTTTTAAAGATAGATTGTTTTTAGTAAAATGTAGCTTTTGATAGTTAATTAATTTGTCATGATTGTCTTTGAATAAAGGAAATTCACTGCCATATTCACAAACTATTGTGATCTTTGTTTTATTCTTATTCTCTCTTCATGGCAGAGTCTCTCCTTTTCTAGTTCCCTCCCATTGAAAATCCTAGGTCGTTATGCCTGTGGATCATTAGTTAGCTGGTCAAGTCAATAAATAGGTTGCTCCATATGGAGAGGTTGTTATTTCAGGTTAAAAATGGTCAAATGCCAGCAATTTCATATGACTGAGCCCAGGGTTTACACACCAGGGACCGTTAAATCCTCTGGAGAGCCAGGCTGGACCACTGTTCCCAGCAACAGCAATGCTAGATCAGTCCTGCTCCACACATCTGGACTCTGCTAGGCTTTCAAGTGTGCCTGTGGTGTTTTCTGGGATTCTTTCTCCCATTTCCCAACTTTCTACTTTCATCCTTTCTTGGTCTTTCCCTCCAGTGTTAGGGGTGGAAGGGTCTCTTTGTAAGGCTCTGGGTTCTAGCTCTTCCTGCCTCCCAGGGGACACTGTTCTATCAGTTATCCCCTCTTCCTGTACCTTGTTTTCCTTCAAATACTCTCATCTTAACAAAAAGTTACTGTGGCCCTCCAAGCTACCATCCTACCTCTTAAAGAATCACTTGAGGTCTCCTTTTCTGTCCATTCTCAAACCATGACAGACTGGTACCTCCTCTTCCACCAATCTTCTGTTGTGTCACTTTTACTGATTTCTTTCCGAATCAATCCCAGTGGATAAATACTGTGCATTTGACATGTGAAACTGCATCCTTGATGATTGTTCCTTCCCCAGTTTCCCTTCTACTCTTTTGCTGTCTTGATTTCTATACATTTAAAGCTGAGTGCTCAGAGTTTGTAATCCCAGTGATTCAGGAGGCTGAGGCAGGAGGATTACAAGTTTAATACCAGCCCCACTTCAACAACTTAGTGAGATCCTGTGGTAAAGTGCCTGTGAGATTCAATGCCTAGTAACCCCTGATTCCCCAAAAGGTGGAATTTATGTTTATATCCTGAACAGTCTCAAAACTTTTGATTCATAAACTTCTTGACAAAGCCAGATATACTTATGGCACATGGGCCGATCTAAACATATAAGTAACAACCCCACCTGCCCCAAGTCATCTTCCTATTCCACGTCCTGGCACTTTGACCACATCATTTCCTCAGGCAGAAGCCTAGGATTTCTTTTTCCTTGTAACCCCTGTCTTACCACACCTTAATCAGTAACTGATTCCCACCTGGACTCTCCACTTTGCCCAGGTTGTGCTACAGACACATATGGCATCTACTGCTTCCTATCTATAAAAACCAAGATTTCTTCCAGACTACTCATCAGTTTCTTAGTGATTGTTCACTGCCTTTAAGATTTTAAAAAAGTTATTGAGATACAATTCACATGCCATACAATTCATCCACTTAAAGAGAACAATTCAGTGTTTTAAAATTATGGGTTGTGCAACCATTGCCATAATCTATTTTAGAACCTTCTTTTGTCCTCTGAAACCCTGTACCCAATCAGCCATCATTTTCCCTAACTCATCTAACTTTCCTATCCCTTAGCTCTAACCAACCACTAACCTACTTTCTGCGTACAAATTTGCCTTTTCTGGACATTTCACATAAATGGAATCATACACGTAGAACCATAATTTTTAAGTGTGCATGGTGAGTTGCTTTTTCATTTGTCTACTTTCTATAATTTTACTTCAATAATTGCTATAAAATATGTAAAAATGCAGTAATCAAAAAAATAATTTAAACTTTATTCTTTTTTAGTTGACTTCTCAGAAAAGGTGGCAAACTCAAGAACTCCCTTCGGAGTGGTTTTTGAATTTTATTTTCTTTCGATTTTTCCCTCAGGATACTCACTTCTATGCATGATTTCTGGTAAGGCTGGAAGATAGGATAAGCTGTGACCCTTTCAAACATTCTCTCCTCCTTCTCCACTTGAGGTTTTAGGAGAGGAGAAGTTTGACTGGAGAGCTTCCAAGGTTCTCTTTGATCATTTCTTTGCTCTGAGAGTTCTCTCCCTCTAATCATTCGATCTTTATGTTCCTTCATCTGATTCTTTGCCCATGCTACCTTGTGCTTTCCGGTTTTCGTTTTGTGTGTTTTCTGGATATCTTCATTCTTTTCATCCTCCAGTGTTAATATTTTTGGGAAAAGCATTTCACTTGGAAGTTTCTGAGGGAGTAGTTGATACTTTTGGTCTCTGAGGCCCCTTGCTCGTTCGGCTCGGTATATGTGTTTCTCTATGTGATTTAGCTCTCTTTCAGACACTAGGTAATCCCACGTGTTGGCATCTTCTGACTTTTCACTTTGCGATCTCTTCTCCTCCTCCTCCTCTGTTTTCATAATTTCCCACTTTGGAACCATTTTGTAGTCCCATGCTTCTTTCATCATCATTTCTTGATATCGTTGGTAGTAGTATTCCTCTGCTTTAGCAAACCGGAAGTCAAAAGATGTGGCCTTAAGTTTAGCAAGTGCTTCATTCTCCTGCTGAAACTCTTGGGCTAACAGTTTTTTCACTCCTGAAGAATGGATGCCACCTAAACTCTTGTCAAAGGGAGTAATTAGACTTTTTAAGTCAGAAGTCTTTTAGTCTAGTTCTATACTACAGATCTCAAGCAGGCTACTACCCTGCCTGGCACACCAATACCGTGCTCCAGTTAGGGTCCTTAACCATGTGTGGTTTATGTTTTCATCATCAAACCTCCTATACTCCCCTCCCCTCCTGCAGTATTCCCTCGTTGAGGACTCTGCCTTAGATTTCCTTGAGAGAATGGAAGCAGTCACCCAGGAGCATCCTCCTCTTCCCACTGCCAAATCATGGCCACCCTAGACTGCCTTCCTGCCTCGACAGTGGAAACATTACCCTTTGCCTATCAAAAGACCATTCTTCTACCTGTGCTTTTTGAACTTTAAGAATTACAATTTTGCAATTACCAAATTTCCTTTCCTATATCATTAAAATCTCCTTTTTACTGGATAAAAATATGCTTCAGTATATCATCTTTAAACAAAAATGGAAGCCTTCCTTTACTGTATTTCCCTCTCTGGGTTTTTTTTGTACCAGGGATTGAACTCAGGGGCACTGGACCACTGAGCCCCATCCCCAGCCCTATTTTTGTATTTTATTTAGAGACAAGGTCTCACTGAATTGCTTAGCACCTTGCCCTTGCTGAATGAGGCTGGCTTTGAGTGATTCTCCTCTCTCAGCCCCCAGAGCCGCTCAGATTATAGGCGTGAACCACTGTACCCTGCCCTCTCTGGTTTTTATCCCCACTTTTGTTCACCCTTCCATAGTATACTGTGGACTAGTCACCTATAATCCCTCTCCAATTGCTGACTTCATGTTTTCTCCTCAGATTATTTCTCCTCCTAGTGCTTCTCAGACTGTTCTTGTTGAGGTCACGATTGGTCTCCAAATAGAAAATTTAGTGGGCTCATTTCTGTTCCTATCATAATTGACCTCACAGCAGTGTTTAACTGTGAGACTTTTCACTTTCTTCTGCCTTTCAAGCTGCCAAGGACATATGACTAAGGAAGGTTATTCTGAAATCCTCGACCATCCTAGCCATTTGCTGAGTATCCCCAAGTGACTGAATATCCTGATTGTCTTCCCAACTTATAGCCATTCCTCCTCTGTCTGCCTTGCTGGTCTGTTAAATATAGCAGAGGAAACGGTAACTTGAGATACAGCATGGTCACACTTAGGCTTCCTTGGATAGGGATGTTTCATTCAACAAGGTGACATACCATGTGTCAGGAGTGAGAATAAGGGTGAATGAGGGGCAAGCCACACAGGCAAGGCACTGGCCTGCATTGGCTCTCAACTTCAGACCTACCTAGTCACTGTGTACTGGACGGACATCTCTACTTGCTTCTTCCCTCAGTTTTCACCTTAATCATCTTTAATTTGAAAATACCCCTCTCATCAATGTTTCATTTCAACCCTGATGACTTCACCCTCGAGTATTATGCCCAGTTTTTTTTTTTTTTCCAAATCTACACTTATTTCCTCTGTCCTCCTGCCCACCAGACTGATTAATGCAGCCAGAGTGATCTTTCTGTTACATAATTCTGTCACTCTGGCATAAAACCCTGGGGTAGGGCTCTGTTGGTTTTCAGAGAAGATCCCAGATTCTAGTGTGGTATCTATGACCTGGTGCCTGAGGCCCTGCTCTCCAGACAACTTTCTCAGCTCACTACTTGTTCACTCTACTCCAGCCACACTGGATTCTGTTCCATGTGAGTATTTTCTCTTCCTTCATCTCATCCTAAACATATATATGAGCAACTCTGACCAGAGTACTTGCATCTACAGTTTTTAGATTTTGGTTTATATGTCAACTCCTCAGACCTTCTGTATGCTCACCAGAGAAGACCCAATCCTTTTGTGACAATCACAGTCTGTGATTACTGATTGCTTAATGTCAATGTTCCTCACTAGACTTAAGTGCCATGAAGGCATGAGTGGCATTTATTTTGTTCATTGCCCCACTAGAACTAAAAGAATCAAATTCCAAACTAAGCAGGCAACGCACTTTGCCTTGAAATAGGCCTTTTTTTCCTTTTCTTTTTGCCTCTAGGCTAAACTTTGTGTTGTCCTATTATTGAATCCAAAGTTCAAGGAAAATGTGTTTCCTCACCTTAATCCTCTTTTCTAGTGGGGAATGGGAACCCACTGCAATCCGAGGATCTTGAATATTTTTAGCCCAGGCCAATCTAGAAGATCAAAAAGAAATTATACCAGGACTTGTGGGAAGGTAGGGGGAACATGCTCTGGAATGAATAGCATTAGGGAATGATTTGAAACCTACTTTCCATATGTAATAGAAGGCATTTCTCTGTCCTGAAGGGTAGGACTCTTTTTTTTTCCCTTTGAGGTAGTGGGGACTGAACCCAGGGGCACTTTTACCACTGAGCTACATTCCTAGCCCTCTTTATTATTTGTTTGAATTTTGAGACAGGGCCTTGCTAATATGCTGAAGCTGATCTGGAACTTGGAATCCTCTAGCTTTAGCCTCCTGAGTTGCTAGGATTACAGGTGAGTACCACTGCATGCAGATGTATGTTTAACTTCTTTCCCTAAAGCAAGGAACGAATACACTGTGATAAAAGTATAAACAGAGTCATATTGAGTCTGAGATTGCAACTGTCTGAAGCACCTTTATTTTAACCCTTGAGAGGGAAGACCAAGTTGCTATTTCAAATACCACAAAACAGTTTTTGTATATCATGAGTAGAACAAAAAACTTAGCTTTGATGAGAAAAGTTTTCATTTTAAATTTAAATAAAGTTATGTATAATGTTATCAGAAATAATTTCTAATAAAGTTATCTACTAGAACATGTTTCATGATTATGGTCAAAGTTTACCTTTTAAGTAGAGAAAACAGGTACAGTGGCGCATGCCTATAATCCCAGCAACTTGGAAGGCTGAGGCAGAAGTTCAAGGCAAGCCTCAGCAACTTAGTGAGGCCCTTCTCAAAAAATAAAAAGGGCAACCCCTGGGTTCAATATCCAGTGGCCCACCCCCAATATATAACAAGGTTTTTTGCTTAAAATTTTTTTTTTTTCAGAAAAATATAGCAGAGAAATTTGCCCTTTAAGACCAGTACAGTCACATTTAGGCATCCTAGAGATCTCTCAACCTGTTTAGTAAGCAAATAAGTTCTATATTTAGCAACCTAGATTATAAATATTGTTTATTTGGCTTATCTTAGCAGTAGAAGAGAAGGATTTTATAACAGAACTGGAAGAAACTAACAGCGTATTTATTTAATAAAGCTAATTTCTTAAAAAGAGACACAGATGTCTGATTTCAGATTCTCTTTTCTAAGAATTTATGTTGTTTCCATAGTAACATTTCTTGAGTTTACTATATACGGGGCACTGTACTACAACTCAGGTGGATCATTTTACTTAATCTACTAAACAACCTATTAAGTAGGTAATCATCATCCCCTATTTCATGGAGGCCATGAGAGGGTTAGTGACTTCTTAATGGGCCCAGTATTAATTTCAGAAGTGTGATATATCCTGCATCCTTATATCCTTGTGCTATACTGTTTGTCCTTTGATGTGTCCTGCATAACTCCTTGTGTCCTTGTGCTACACTATTTGTCCTTGTGCTACATTGTTTCCAGGAAGAACATTTTCTTGCCTGTACCCAAAATGGAAGGAAAATGATACCTACTGATCTTCTGCACTTAGACCAAACCACTCCGAGTCTGTCATCCCCGGAGGCTGGGAGAGTGGGGCCTGCACTGCTCTTTGCTCCTTTGATAGTCCCCCACTGTGACCTCTCTTCAAAGCCCTATTGGTCGCTTGCACTGTTCTTACATCCTTGTGATGATTTTCTCTGAAGTCTTTGGCTTTGGCCATCTCCCTATCAACCGCCAGCTTCACATACAGCATCTTTGCTCTTCCCTCGCTCAGCCCCTGCTCCCCTGAACTGCTCCCCAGTGCTCTAATCTCTCACTTTCTGTTCTGCAAGTACTGGTTTCTAGTGTCCAGCCCTCTTCAGACTCTCAGCTGCCTACTGTTGACCCTCAAGAATGCCTTGAGTTGATTTCTAAGGCAACCAGGAGGAGTCACAAGCTTTTGTGTGTGTCATCACTATCCTGGCTGGAGACTACTGTGAGGGGGTGTGTGAAGATACAGTTATTGGCAGTGAATGGACTTCACTCTGTGAGCTATAGCCAGAATCTAGAAGGGTCTGTGTTTCGCAGACACAGGCACCCTTTTCAGTGCCATCAGAGAAAGCGTCTTAAGGCAGTAAGGGCATCTTTCTTTCTTTTTCATTTTTTTTTTTTTTTGGCATATTGTATATTCTTCCCATTAAGATGGAACCTGAAGAAACCCTTGGAGTAGATCCTGCGTGTGTACTTGAGAGGTGCTGGAGGATGCAGCAGCATGCCAATGGTCTTATAATTTCTTGAACTGGTGTTTCACTCAGATAAATGCTGCTATGGAGCTTTTGAGCTTTAATATAGTTTAATATATTTTTAATCAATTTATGCTCATAATTGGTCAATAAAAGATAGGGAAGCAGAAAATATTTCAGGGTTGAAACACAAACCATAGAGATTGCATCTTTCAAGGAATGTACCTATTTCCTCTAAGATGTTTTTTTTTCTAAGCTCAGCAGTGTTTGTAATATTTCTTCATTATCCTTTTAATGTCTGTGAGAGTAGAAGTGACAGTTGTTCTTCAGTTCAATATTGATAATTTGTCTTCTCTTTTTTACTATGGTCACTGCCTGAGCCAGGCACTGTGTGAAGTGCTAAAAGGCAATATTATATATAACCTCACATGAAGCCTCTTTCAAAGAAAAACGTGTAATTCTGAGTGTGAGCCTCCCTTTTAAAGTAATAAGCATAGCTTATTACTATAAACTATAACTTACATTTAAAAAACACATGGACTTAAAAGTAGTTTTAATTTAACTATTATGTTGTAAATTGTTTCTCTTTCTTCATAAGAAACTATACTATACCCTTGATTTTACACAAGTGACAGATGGCTTATGTTTTTGATAATAAAACAATTCTGCTAATAAGAATTTTATTATATTCCTAAATTTTAATTCTTCATAAAAAAAACTATGAAAAGTGTTTAACTAGTTTGAGAAGCCCTGACTCATGGGGGAGATGATTATGGTTCCTGAACGATAGTATTAGCAATTTCTAATGTAATCTGAACTTGAAATGGACTTCACTGTATAATCAGAGTATACTAAGCTTCTGGCTTTTGGGATGACTATATTTGTATGAGTCTATTTCTGGGCTCTCAATTCTGTTCCATTGACTCATTTATTTATTTTTAATAATAATACAGTTTTTATAGTACATTTTGAAGTCAGGTAGTGTCAGTTTTCCAATTCTGTTTTCCTTCAGTATTATCTTGGTTATTTGGGCTTTGTGGCTTTCCATATAAACTTCAGTTTGTAAATATCCATAAAATAATTCCTGTGATTTTGACTAGGATTTCATGAAACTTAAAGATAACTTGGAAATAACTAATATCTCAACAATATTCATGTTCCCTCAATGAATATAGATTATAATTTAGATCTCCTTTGATTTCTTCCATTTGAGGTTTATAGTTCTCATATGGTAAATCTTGTACATGTTTTGTCAGATTTATTGGTATTGTGCTTTTAATTTTAAATTCTACTTGTTCATTTGTTATATATGAAAGTAATAACACTTTTCATATATTAATATTGTAATCTATGATCTTGTCATAATTGGTTATTGTTTTTTTTTTTAAAGAGAGAGAGAGAGAGAGAAAATTTTTTTTAATATTTATTTTTTAGTGGACACAACATCTTTGTTGGTATGTGGTGCTGAGGATCGAACCTGGGCCACATGCATGCCAGGCGAGCGCGCTACTGCTTGAGCCACATCCGCAGCCCCTGGTTATTGTTTTTTTGATAATTATTATTACTTTGGATTCTCCATTGTCATTATCATCTGTGAGCAAAGATAGTTTCTTTCTTCCCAATCTATATAATTTCCATGTCATTTTCTTATTATTTTCGAACTTCCAATATGATGTTGAACAGGAACGGTATGAAGAGACATATTTACCTTATTTCTTAGGGAGAAAACACTTAGTTTCTCACTATTAAGTTTGATGTTAGCTACAGATATTTTTTCTGTGTTCTTTATCAAGTTGAGGAAGTAACCTTTTGTTCCTGGTTTGTTGAGAATTTTAATCACACATGAATGTTGATTCTGCCAAATGTTTTTTCTGTAACTATTGATATGATCATCTGATTTTTCTTTTTTACCCTGATGATACAATAGATTAATTGCTTTTCTAATGTTGAGTTAGCCTTGCATACCTGAAATACTGCCTGGTGATGGTGTGTAAATCTTTCTTATACATTCTCAGATTTTGATTTGCTAGTATTTTGTTGAAATTGTTTGCATCTATGTTCATGAGATATATTAGTGTGTACTGGGTATAAACTCAGGGGCACTTGACCACTGAGCCACATTACCAGCCCTATTTTGTATTTTATTTAGAGACAGGGTCTCACTGAGTTGGTTAGTGCCTTACTTTTTTGCTGAGGCTGGCTTTGAACTTGTAATTTTCCTGTCTCAGCTTCCCTAGCTGTTGGAATTCAGATGTGCGCCACCACACTCGGCTAATTTTCCTTATTTGCAATGTCCTTGGTTTGGATATTAGAGTAATGTTGGCCTCATAGAATGAGTTAGTGTTTCATCTGCTTATATTTCTAGAAAGGCCCATAGAGAAGGTATAATTTCTTCCTTAAATATTTAGAATTTAGTAGCGAACCCATTTGGGCCTGGTGCTTATTCTCTAAGGTTTATTATTTATTGAATGAATTTCTTTGATATAGACCTATTCAGATTATGTGTTTATTCTTGTATGAATTTTGGCAGATTACATTTTTCAGGGAATTAATTTATTTCCTCTGAGTTGTCTTTGTTGTGGGCACAATATTCCATTATTGTCCTTTTAATGTCTGTGGGACCAGTCGGAATGATGATGATTTGTGTGTGTGTGTGGTGCTGGGGACTGAACTCAGCCCTTCCTTTTTACTTCTGATATTGGTAATTTGCCTTCTTTTTTCTCCCTCTCTTTTCTACTTCTTTTTTTAGTACTGGGGTTAGAACCCGGGGCCTCACATATGCTAGGTAAACACTCTACCATTACACTGTATCTCCAGCCTGCTTCTTTTTTCCTTTTTTGGTACTAGGGATTTAACCCAGGGGCACTTCACTGTTGAGCCACATCCTCAGACCTTTTAATTTTGAGACTGGGTCTTGCTAAGTTGCTTAGGGCATCGCTATGCTGCTGGGGCTGGCTTTGAACTCTGGATCCTGCTTCCTCAGGTGCACTAGTTTTGGGGATTATAGGTGTGTGTATTGATCTTTTCAAAGAATCAGCTTTTGGTTTCATTGATTTTCCTCTCCATTTCCTGTATTTCAGTTGTTGATTTCTGCTCTTTCATTATTTTCTTCTTGTCTTGAATTTGTTATATTTTACAATTTATTGATTTTATATTTCCTTTTGTAATATATTTACTTAATGCTATAAATTGCCATCTAAGTACTGCTTTTGCTGCATCCCACAAAATTTAAGTTGTAGTTTCATTTCAGTTAGTTCTATATATTCCAAAATTTCTCTTGAGACTTCTTCTTTGATTCAGAAGTGTTTTATTTTAATCTCCAAGTAGTTTGGAATTTTCTAGCTGTTATTGATTTCTGATGCAATTTCATTGTGGTCTGGAAGCAGATCTTGTATGATTTATACTGTTAAATTTAAGGTGTTTTATATGGTCCAAAATGTGGTCAATTTTGGTGAATGTTCTATGTGAACTTGGGAAGAATATGTGTTACTAGTATTGTTGGATTAATTCTATAGCCACCAATTAGATCCATTTGATTAATAGTACTGTCTGATTCAACTATATCCTTATTGATTTTCATCCTGCTGGATCTGTCAGTTACTGATAGAGGATTCTTGAAGACATATTGCAATTCTTGGCTTATATACATAATGTATTTTCCCGTTTTGTTGATGCATTCACATTAAGGATTGTCATGTCTTTTGGAAAATTTACCTCTTTATTATTATATAATGCCTGTCTTTATCCATGATCTGTCTGGCTGTGAAGTCTGTTTTTGAAATAGTCTTTTCAAGTTCCTTTTGATTAGCATCAGCACGGTATATTTCTTCATCCTTTTCTTTTTCATCTGTTTAAATTGGGTTTCTTGTAAAAAACATGTAGTGTTGGGTCTTTTTTTAAATCTATACTGACAATCTTTTTAATTATTTTGAACCAGAAAAATTAAAATTTAAAACAAATTATTTTGGGCTGAGGCTGTAGCTCAGTGGTAAAGTCCGTGCCTTGCATGTGTGAGGCACTGGGTTCGATTCTCAGCACCATGTAAAAATAAAGAAAGATATTGTGTATCCATCTACAACTAAGAAAAATAAATTTACTTCCTTTTATCCCTTCTATAATACTCTGCTTTTCTTTATGCAGATTCAAATATTTAACATATTATTTTCTTTCTGAAGAATTTAACATTTCTTGCAGAGCAGGTCTACTGGCAACAAATTCCCTCCATTTTTGTTAAAATCTTTACTTTTTTTTCACTTTTGAAAGATAATTCTCTGTACAAAGAATTCTTGTTTTTTTCCTTTCAACATTTTAAATATTTCACTCTACTCTCTTCATGCTTCCTGAAGTCTGATTTAATTCTTGCTCCTCTATACAATTTTTTTTCCTTCTAGCTTCCAAGATTTTCTGTATGTAGGTCTAAACCTAGTATTTGTTGATGTTGTTTCCTCTTCAGTTTTTAATTTTTATTACTGGCTACATTTTAGGTGTTCAATAGCCACGTGTGGCTAGGATCTTCCAAATTTGAGAACCAGGTTTTGACAGTAAGAAAAGGGGTCCAGTCTAGACCTCTTGCAGTGAGTGGCCCATACAGGAAAGCATCTGTTAGGACTCTGCCATTACTAGTGCCTGAGAGTGTGCCTATCTATTCCCTGCTTCTGTTCATGCCACTCTCCCCTTACTAAGTGCTTCCCTTCTGTGCCTTCAGGTTACCTCTGTCTTTTACCCTTATTTCTCTGGTTTAACTTAGGTCTCATCTACTTAAACACCTTCTTTGGAAGGAAAGGATGATGTTTTACTTCTCCCCTTTAATTTAGCAAACATGAACTGGGGATGCTATCACAATGCAAAGATCCTTCACGTCACCAGGACATTACTGAGCTGCATTCTTGTACTTTGCAGACTATATATCACATCTGGTAATATAAAAAAATGTTACTAAGACTGTATATAGTGCTTTTAGCATTTTATTATTGTTAATATAAGAAAATTAAAAACAAAGATAACTTGCTAGCATGTCATAAATAAAAAGACATTGGGCTGGGGATGTGGCTCAAGTGGTAACACGCTCGCCGGGCTGTGGGAGGTGCTGGGTTCGATCCTCAGCACCACGTAAAAATAAAGATGTTGTATCCACCGAAAAATAAATATTAAAAAATTCTCTCTCTTTAAAAAAAAATAAAATAAAAAGACATTGTAATAGTGCTTCCCTTTCTCCTTGAAAAGGAAGAAACTGATGCTTTGCCTCTTTTTTCCCCTCATTTGGGTCTGGAAGATGAAACTGTCTCTGACCTTTAACAAAATACATTCTGTATGTAGGTCTAAACCTAGTATTTGTTGATGTTGTTTCCTCTTCAGTTTTTAATTTTTATTACTGTTTCTTCCTCCTATCATATGGCCTTTATTAGTTAGGTGACCTTTGGCAAGTTATTCAGCCTCTCTGGTTTATGTTTACTGTCTTATAAAATTTCTGTAAGGATTAGGTAAATTAACACACACATCTATTGTTCAAGGCTGGCATGCTCTGGAGTACACTGGCTGAAGATGGTTTTGGCATATGGTTGAGATTTTGATGGGATAGAAGTGAAGTGAGACAGGAATACTGTAGTGTTCCTTATTTGAATAAGTGTCCCTTATTCAAGATCCCTGGTGGAGGCCTGAAGCTATAATGACTAAACCCTATAAATTACTGTTTTCCATATATATATATGTGATTTCATTTAATTTATAAATTAGAAAGAGTATAGGGGATTAACCATAAAAACTAAAAATAGGATAATTATAATACATTAAAGTTATGTTTCAAAATATTTTATTGTACTGTAGATCTTAGTAACCTCAACTTAAATTTTTTTTTTTCTTATTAAGTCAAGAACTTAAGTATTTTATGGCTACTACTATTTCACTTTGGGGCTATCGCTAAGTAAGATAAGTGTTATTTGAACATAAGCTATGTAATACCTTGACAGTCAATCTGATAACTGAGACAGCTACCAAGTGGCTAACAGATAGGCAGTATATACAGTATGGATCTGTTGGACAATGGGATGACTCAGGTAGTACAGAGTGGGACAAGAGGAGATTTCATCATGCTACTCAGAACAGTGTGCAAAACTTATGAATTATATTGGAATTTTACATTCATTATTTTTGGACTGTGGTTGAACATGAGTAACTGAAATCAAGGAAAGAGAAACCAAAGATTAGGGAGGGACTGCTATATAAGAACAAAAAGCCTCCTAGCCTCTAACTTCTGCCCCGAGTATTGCATTCTGCTGTTTCACTCTACAGGCTCTTGCTGTCACTCAAAAGGACAACCTGTCCATAAAAAGACTGGCAATCAATCAAACCTGCTATATAGAACAAAATGGAGAGCTGGACACAGTAGTGCATTCCTGTAATCCCAGTGGCTCAGGAGACTGAGGCAGAAGGATCACAAGTTCAAGGCCAGCCTCAGCAACTTAGTGAGATCCCATCTCAAAATAAAAATAAAGGACTGGGGTTGTGGCTCAATGTTAGAGAGCCTGCCTAGCATGTGTGAGGCAAGTCTCAGCACCACATATAAATAAATAAATAAATAAAGGTTCATCAACAACTAATAAAAATATTTAAAAAATAAATAAAAAGAGCTGGGGATGTGGCTCAGTGGTAAAGTGCTTCTATACCACAAAAAACCCTAAAACCAAAAACCCTTTTATAAGAACATGGGTACTGAGATGTAGCAACAAGTCTTCAACTCTAAAGAACATTTATCATAAGAAACCTTGAGGGGCCTGAGAAGCCCCTGCATACCCATGGCCGTTCAACTGTGAGGTACAAATGATACTTAACAGCCTAAAGCACCAGGCTGAGAACCTGAACTTACCTTGGCACATCTCTTAACGTGGCAGACGCGGAGCCAAGAATGGAAAAACTGACCTCACGAGTTTATTTCTGTTTTTCTGTGGTTCAAGATTTTACCTTTTTTTGTATAGTGCTGGGGTTAGAACCTAGGGCCTGGTGCACGCAAGACCAGTACTCTACCAAATGAGCTGTATCCCTAGCCCTCACAAATTTACTTTTAATTTAAAACACTGAAAAAAGAATCAGCTTTACTGTTGACAGGGGAAACATGAGGCCTGACAGGCTTATTAACTTATCTGTGCACACAGGGGAAAGATTAAGGAATATTGCCTTGTTATTCTTGCCGCATCAAGCCTGTCTATGCTATTATGATCAGGATGAGACTAATTTTAAATACGCACTAATTAGAGCCCTATAAGCTTTACACAAACACACTCTTATAAAGTAATCCTAGCTATTATTCTAAAAGTCTTACTAAAGATTGGGTCATTTAGTCTATCTATCCTTACCACAACCCAACAATATATGACCCATCAAAATCTCTTGCGATAATAAGATTTATCTCAACATTAACGGAAACAAACCAAGCCCCATTTGACTTCACAGGAAAATCAGACCCGTGCACTGCGGGAATAAGCACACCGGCTCTTATTCACCCTTTTTATTAGCTGAGTGTACCATAAATGCTTTAACAACAATTATTTTTTTTCTAGGAGTACTTTATAGCCCCCTAATACCTGAAACCTTTACTCTAGATTTTATTACTAAAACTAATCCCGGGGCTGGGGCTCAGTAGCAGACCGCTTGCCTAGCATGTGTGAGGCACTGGGTTCAATTCTCAGCACCACATATTAATAAATTAAAAAAAAATTAAAGGTCCATTGACAACTAAAAATAAAACAAAAAACCAAAAACTAATCCTGACCTCAGTATTTCTATGAATTCAAGAATCTTACCCTAATTCTGATATGATCAACTTATATACTTATATACTTAGTTTGAAAAATTTCTTTTACCTTACACTCTAGCCTTATAAGATTATCTTTATACTTATTATAGGAAGCATTCTCCACAAACTGATAAATGAGTTACTTTGAGTAAATTATGAGGTTCAAATCTTCATATTTCTAGAACTATTGGACTTGAACCTAATCCTTAGAATCCCAAATTCTTCCTGCAATCTAGTATAGCAGGGTCTTCTAGAAAGGTCAGCTGAATAAGCTATCTGGCCCACAATCTAAAAACGTTATTTTTTATTGTTTAGGTACTAATTAACCCCCTAACCTCCTCCAATATTATATTTATTCTCAGGAACAATAATTGCCCTGCTTAGTTCCTATTGACTTCTCATCTGAGTAAGATTAGAAATAAAGTCCGTGAGAGTGTGTGAGTGAGCGCGTGCATACACAAGTATATACACACTTTCTTTTTTTTTTTATAATGGGATTGAACCCAGGGGTGCTAAACCACTGAGCCACATCCCCACTCCTTTTTATTTTTTGAGACAGGGTCTCACTAAGTTGTTTAGGGCCTCGCTAAATAGCTGAGGCTGCCCTTGAATTGCCATCCTCCTGCCTCAGCCTCCTGAGTCCCTGGAACCACAGGAGTGCACTACCGTGCACATCGGGAAGAAGCACACAGGCTCTTATTCCCATCCTAATAACGGAAGCTGCCTCCACGCATTTTTCTCAGCCAAGCAACTGCATCAACAAGCCTAACAGCACTCTAATTACTAATCTCCTAGACTCGGGACGATGGACCCTGGCTACCAGGTCAGCCCACCTGCAGCCTGGCTGTTTGCACGCCAGACAACCTAGACTGATGGCTTCTCTTCAAAGGCCGTAGGGCCACGGACTCCAGCTGACAGCGGCTTCCTCCTGCGGCCCAGCCTTCCGCCGTCCGGGCCCTCACCGATGGCAGAACGCCCGTTTCTGTACCTGCACCGGGAGCACCGCGGCCAGCGGGCTTCCGCGCGGTGGAAGGGCGGCCTGGGAGGGAGCTTTCGCCTGGGCTCCGCGCAGAGCGGCGGGTG